GCACTGGAGCTGGTGCTGCTGAGGGTGCTGGCGCTGAGACTACCGCTGGCAGTCCTACTGGGGGTGCTCCTGGTGCTGCTGGAGGTTCTGGAGCTACTGGTGGTGCTGCTGGAGCGGGTGCTCCTGCTAAGGGTTCTGGTGCTGTCCCTGCTGCTTCTAGCGTCGCCGCGCGGCCTCGACCGTACTTCGTGCCACTCCTGCAGCAGGTTCTTGGTCTTCCACCTTCTACTGGTCCTCCTCCTCCCTTAGAGTGTCCACAGCCTGTCTCGTCCCAGCTACAGTTGCAGCCTACCTCCCCTTTGCCTGCTCCTTCTCCCTACACTGGTCCTACTGGAGGTCTGGCTGAGCGTCGTGAGCCTGCGTCTCGCCCTACGTCGCCTGTCCGTGCTGCTCGCACTAGTGGTCGCGGTTCGCGTCAGCGTCCTCCTCCTGTCCCTGGCACGCACCGGATGTCTCTGCGTCCGTCCACTGCTCCTCTGCGTGCCCCTTTGCCTTCTCCTCCTGAGTCCTCTCTTCCTGCTCTTGCCGACCCGGAGTCGGACTCTCTTCGTGCTGCCAGTCCTACTGTCACGCGTCTCCTTGCTACTGTTGTCACTGACCCTTCTTTCGAGTCTACTGCTGCGTCTGCTCTAGTTACTGAGCTCGTCGACTTTGCTGCTCGCTGTCGCTTAGACTACGCTGCTAGTCTTGTCGCTGAGTCTGAGTCTGTCTGTCCTCCGTCCGTCGGGGGTGAGTGTGCCCTTGGCACGGACGTCCTTAAGGACAGGCAGGAGGAGTTCCAGTGTCTGGCAGCTGCCTCACCTCATCTCGTGTCCGTACTGCTTACCCCTGAGGGAGACCCGGATGCACTTGACATCCCGACTCCGCGCTCTTACGCGGAGGCGATAGAGGGTCCCTACTCCTCTCAATGGCAGGCAGCTATGGATGCAGAGATGGCTTCCTGGAAGTCCACAGGCACCTACGTTGACGCTGTCCCCCCTCCTGGGGCGAACATCGTCAGTGGCATGTGGATCTTCAGGGTGAAGCGGCCGCCGGGTTCTCGGCCTGTCTTCAAGGCGCGTTACGTGGCTCGTGGCTTCAGTCAGCGGCAGGGAGTTGACTACTTTCAGACCTTCTCCCCCACCCCGAAGATGACCACTCTTCGGGTACTGCTGCACGTTGCTGCTCACCGTGACTACGAGCTGCACTCTCTTGACTTCAGCACAGCTTTCTTGCAGGGCAGCCTGCACGAGGAGATCTGGCTGCGTCGCCCACCTGGCTTCACTGGGTCTTTCCCTTCTGGTACCCAGTGGAGTCTCCGGCGTCCAGTCTACGGTCTCCGCCAGGCGCCACGTGAGTGGCACGACACACTGAGGACTACACTTGCGGCTCTTGGGTTTGCTCCTTCTACTGCCGACCTGTCGCTGTTTCTACGCACCGACACCTCTCTGCCGCCGTTCTACATCCTCGTGTACGTCGACGACTTGGTCTTTGCCACAGCTGACACTGCTGGACTCGCCTACGTGAAGTCCGAGCTGCAGAAGAGACACACGTGCACAGACCTAGGTGAACTGCGCAGCTACCTTGGCTTGCAGATCACCCGGGACAGAGCACGCCGCACCATTACCCTGACTCAGTCACACATGGTGCAGCAGGTCCTTCAGCACTTCGGCTTCACGTACTCCTCGCCTCAGGCCACTCCTCTGTCTACTCGCCACTCGCTCTCAGCTCTGCCTTCGGATGAGTCCGTAGAGTCGAGTGGCCCGTACCCAGAGCTTGTTGGCTGCCTCATGTACCTGATGACCTGCACACGACCTGACCTTGCATACCCTCTTAGCATTCTGGCACGCTATGTTGCTCCTGGGAGACACAGACCAGAGCACATGGCTGCAGCGAAGAGGGTGTTGCGCTACTTGTGCAGTACGTCGGGCATGGGGCTAGTGCTTGGAGGGCGGAGTCCAGTGGTCCTCACTGGGCACGCGGACGCTTCTTGGGCTGACGACCAGGCTACGCAGCGGTCGTCACAGGGTTACACCTTCAGCCTTGGTTCCGGCTCTGTTTCGTGGCGGGCTACTCGCTCGTCTTCTGTTCTTGGCTCGAGTTGTGAGGCTGAGATCTACGCCGGGGCCATGGCTGCACAGGAGCTTCGCTGGCTCACCTACCTGCTGACCGACCTTGGAGAGCCGCCTCGTTCTCCTCCAGTCCTGTACGTAGACAACAAGGCCATGCTGGCCTTGTGTCGAGAGCAGCGACTGGAGCACAGAACAAAGCACATTGCTCTCCGCTACTTCCTTGCTCGTGAGCTACAGCAACGTGGTCAGTTGCGGCTTGCGTACGTGGCCTCTGAGGCCAACACTGCTGATGTCTTCACCAAGGCACTTCCGCCTTGTGATCATCAGCGCTTCTGCACTCAGCTGGGTCTTGTGCCCGTCTTGCCTCACTTGCTCTCCTCTTGACCTTGCCTGTACTCTCACATATATATATACCTGCTCTTGCTTGTCTAGCTTTATATATATGTGTGTACTCTTGCATGTGAACTGGCCGTGTGGCCTTGACCCTGTGCTCGGACTGTGTGGTGACTTTGTGATCCACCCTGAGCTTGCTTTGCTTTACTTTGCTTGACTGGTCTTGTGACCCCTTGTTCTCCCCCACTTTGCCTATGGGGGTGTGTCAGAACATTATAGCTTATGCTGTTGTGTAGGCTATAGTGGGGTATCCCATAGGGGGTACAACCAATTAGGGTTTCATATTTGTACTCACTTCATTTCATAGTTCATTCATTCTTGTTCAAATCTTCTCACCTGTATCGCGTTAAGCTCGTATAGAGCACGCGGCAGCTCGAGAGTCACTCGAAGGTCAACAGTCGCAGGTAGTTAACGGTCGCGATGGTTGACCGCCAATAACCGTACTCGGAGGTTACACGATGCAGCATGGTAACTCTCGAGAAGAACACTAGTCGTGGTTACTGTAGCAATGCAATACAATTAATAAGGAAATGTACCCCTCAAAGTATATGGATAGCTAGGTTGCTATTCATTCCTTATACTCCTACCGTAAAATCATTCCTTTTCAACTATTATCAACAAGGTCATTATAAGACTTCATTGTCTTCTCACAACTTAGCAAGTCTTATCCTATCCACTACGATTCTCGGTTATATCAACATGGTATGAGAGCTGGAAGGGATTATAGGATCTGCCAAGTTCCTGTTCTTCCTAAAACAAACTCCTTATAAACTTACTCGTTAAAATGCTGTTACGATATGAAATCATATAAGAAGGCATTCCTGTATGCTACAGGAGCCGACTCTACCGAGTACGAAGTCGATGAGTCAGAAGAGTCGAAGCGACGCAGCAACCGTCTGACCAAGACCGATGCAGGCAGAAACATTTGAAATAAAAAGAGCGGGAACACGTTTGAAACGGGGTCCCGCACCGCACGGTTTGAATTCGCTGCAATAAGGGAATGTACCCTTAGAGTACATGGCTAGACTAGGTCTTTTCGTATTCCCTTGTATTCTTATAGAAACTCGATGTATGCATGCTCTCATCATCTCAGTCATTTACATTCACTTTGACCTGAGTTCACTACTTCCGCTGCAAATAGTACCATGCGATCAACAATAAGCGATCCTTCGCTAAGTCCCACTTGGGATTGTAACAAATAATTATTACAAGTCTGCATCACTGTGGCTCCTGAAGGGAAAGCCACTGCATACACCCCGGGCCCACCACCAACAACGGGTAATGCGCCATTAGCGGTGACCTCCGTCTGCCGTCGTTGAGCAGCTCGTCGCACGCATCAACGCTCTTGAGAGCCATCAAGCCATGAGCATTGATGACTCAAGCTACACAAGAGGAGTTGTTGGACTACCTCTCCCTGAAGAAGACCGCCGAGCCGAGTCAACTGTGAGAGGCCATTTACCTTTTCAACTATTATTAACAAGGTCATTATAAGATTTCATTGTATTCTCAAACTTAGCCAGCCTTATCCTATCCACTATGATTCCCGGTTATATCAACAATTCCTCTAACTAACTCTGAGAACATCGACCCTAAACACCGCACGGCATGTCAATTGATAGGGGTTTATATTATTTTAAGGCGACGGCATTAACATTAATTGTATACCACGCACGTCAACCTTCTGCAACAGGGCCTGTGCTAGGATTTAGGGCACCCTGAGCCGTCAGGGCAACTTTTGAAAACTTTCCGAAATGCCCTGATTTTCCAGGGCAAAATTGCCTGGCCATCATGAAATTTCAGGGCACCAGCAGAAATTCATCTGGATGTTTCAGGGCAAAAAAATACAAGACACTAGAGTGGAAGGGAAGGCACGAAAGGAGCAGGTTCTTCAGTGGTTTCACTTCTACTGGTTGAACATAAACTTTGGAGGGGGAGGGGTGGGGACAAAAGCACACACACCCCCAAGCCTCCCTCCCCTCTCCCCCTCTCCCCCCTCCACCCCTTCTCCCCTTCCCACGAGTCAGGGCATCCCTCTACATTCACCCTAACGCTTCAGGGCAAAATTTCACTGCCATTCTGAAATTTCAGGGAAAAACACATGAATCATCCTAATGTCACAGGGTAAATTTCAGCGTCATTCTGAAATTCCAGGGCAAACTTAAAACACCATCCTGAAATCAGGGTAATCAGGATGTTTTGCCCTGATATCGTGGGCCCTGTTCTGCAACATAAACATTCTGGCAATTTTTTTTTGAGTTGCTTACGTTCTCCCAAGAAAATTGTTGCGCGAACAAAACGTGAGCCGTTCAGAACCAGTAAGATATGAAATATAGGTTATTAAATATTGACATTTTAACGAAAACAGTCACAAAATGCCGTTCTTTGCGCGAAACTTCCTACAGCGCGTAGTTTTCCATCCATCACATTTCCTCGTGTTGACAACCACCATTCCATCCCAGGCCCTGGCGGAGGAACCAGTCGAGTCGCCAGACAGGACTAGAAATAAGTGTTGGGCGGCGATAAGTTGGGCGTTCAGCGTGTGAGTCGCGAACCGCGATGTCAGAGGCGGCGCAGACCGCTGCTTCCGATCCGCCCACCTCCATCGCCTCTCCCACCTCGCTTCCGTGAGTTCTCTTCTCAGACGAAGGCCAGTGTGACTGACCGTTGACTGACGATTGACGGACGGTTGACTGACGGTTGATAGAGGCTGTAATGACGGTTTGCTTCGCGATCCACTGCGAACGGCAGAATCTTGTGATCAGCGCACGATCGTGCGCTGCGATATATCTCGCGACTGCTAGTTCCTAGTTCAACTTTTGAGTCGACTCAAAAGTCAACACGATCGGGCGCTGCGATGTAGCCCGCGACTAGTTCCTAGTTTAATTCAAGGAAGAGCCCGTTTTCTCCGGCCTTACCGTGTCCCCGCCCCGTCACCCCTTCACCCCGCCATCTCGATCCCTCGTCCCCGCATCCTCCGATTCCCCCCATCTCCCGATCCCCCCCATCTCCCCCCCATCTCCCGATCCCCCCATCTCCCGATCCCCCCCATCTCCCGATCCCCCCATCCCCCGATCCCCCCCATCTCCCGATCCCCCCATCTCCCGATCCCCCCCATCTCCCGATCCCCCCCATCTCCCGATCCCCCCATCTCCCCATCCCCCCATCATGCCCCCCCGCCATCAGGGCGGAGGCGATTCGCCCCGCGCGCCGATTCTCCAAGGCGCCCGACTTCTGGCTGCTCACGCCGCTCCTCTATGCACCGCTCCAACCCCTCAGTACCGATCTCCATCCCTCACTGCCCCCTCTCGCATCTATCCCCGTGCTTCCCTCTCACTCCTCCTCGACGCACCATTGCTATTACTGATTACTAGTGTCGTTCAAACTTCAATCAGCCCCTCCCCCCATCCCTTCGCCCCCTCTCACCTCGCTTTACCCTTCTCCTCTATCACTGCTGGCCCATCGCCCCCTTTCGTCATGCTGATTGAAGGGCCACGTGAAATGGGTGCGTTTTTGAGACGTCTAAAAAACACCCTCATTTCGCGTGGCCCCCTTTCGTCATGCTGATTGCTCTTTTGCATCCGGTGGAACCTCGTATCGCCCGCCTGCGGCTCCTTGCTCCCTAGGCTCAGCTTCTGACCATCTCCCCTCCCATGTCTGCAGTTCCTCCTCTCTCTCTCCCACCGTATCCCACCCCTCTGCACTCACATGCCACCCATCTCATCCCCATGCCGCCCTGCCCGCCCTGCCCGCCCTGTCCGTCCTGCCAGTCCGCATATCGCTGCGCCACAAGCCGCAGCTGAGGGATCGCCTCTTTGCCGCTGCCGTAGGGGGAGCGTTCATGCACGGCGCGTGGTTGAGGTGAGTGAGTGTTGCGCCCTGCACGTGCTGGCTGGCATTGGCTGGATGTGAGTGTGTGTCGTGCCTGAGAGGTTGCTGGTATGAAGCGGCAATCGCCACAACTCTGCCGCTCTCACTCTTCACCTCCCAGCACCTCGCCCTCCCCCTGTATCGGCACTCTCCATGTATAGAGGGCGATCTGTCTGTCTTGCTCCTGTTTTCCCATGTTTCGCCTCTGCTGCTCATGCGTCCTCCGTGCACCTCTCACCTCCCCCTCCGCTTCCCCTGTCCTCCTCCCAACCCCGACCGACACTCCCTCTCCCATGTTCCTGGCTGGCAGCCATCGCTTCTACAACGCGGAGAGCTACACTCAAGCACACAACAGATAGCCACTCGTGCACCCGCCTCTGGCAACCGCCCCTGCAATGCAACCACGCCCTGCTCCCTCCTGCACGCCAACTGCCCGAACCAGTGCTGCACTGCACATTGTGGTCTCGTGACTCGTGACTCTCTCGCCCTTGGCGGTCACCCATTGTAGCTACCTTAGTGTGCTCTCCTGGAGGGACGCAACGCAGCCTATGCTGTTGCTGCAGTGATGAATGCCATATCACGAATCAGTATTACCAATATGCTTAAGCCTGGTTGGCAGCCTTTCCAGCAGATACAGTAGCACGGAGACCCGTTATTTTTATAATAATACAGTAATCAATTACCGTATCAGCCAGGACGGTCTGCGAATTGCAATGGCTCGTTGCACCTGCAGCACAGGAGGTGGTGCAAAATCTGCCAGGGAGTAACGGAAGCGGTGAGGTGCGCTGAGAGGCAGCAGCGGTTCATGCACAGAAGCAGAAGAGCCGGCAAGCTTATTGTGCCAGCTGGTGGAGAAAGGTAACCAACCGCCTACAAACAAACATGGGGATGCACTGAACCCAAGGGATAACTCGCACGGCCATGCTGAATCATGCAATTTGGTGTCATACATCTTTTAGGAATACCTACTTCGGGATGGCAAAAAGACGTTGGGATGTTAACAGGGCATGGGGATGATACCAACACGAGGGAGGTGGTGGATGGCAATGCGGGGAGGGACTGCCAATGGGGCTGGCCGGCAGGCTGACAGTTCACTTGTACGTATGTGTCCCTTGCGGGCAGGCAGTGCGACGAGGAGAATGTGCCCACTTGAACTCCAACGCTGGCATCAGTCTGCGCGTGGGTGCGACAATGTGAGATACATACAAGGGTACAAAGCACGTGTGAAAATAGACCAGAGTAGATGGGAACGTTACACCCCACCTGCCAGGCCCCACCCACCCACCCATGTACCTGCGAGGTCGTCCCCCTTGGAGTGGAATGCTTCTTGCAGCTCAGCGAGCCGATTGAAGCAGCGCTGCTTGTGAGAATTCTCAAAAGCAACCTACCTGCAGATTCGCACCCCACGCACCTGCGAGGTCGCCCCCCTTGGAGCGGAACTTGTCTCTCAGCTCAGCGAAGCGCTTGAAGCACCGCTGCTTGGTCTGCCCCGGCACAGCACTGGCCACGCGGTCCCACCGCAGGGGCGTGTCCTTGGGGAACTCCTTCAGCGCCTGCACCAGCGCGCGGTCCTGCGCCTCCGTCCACGTGGTTACCGCGTTACCACCACCCTTGCCCTCTGCCTCTGCCGCGCCCCCTGGGGCGATCCCTTCCTCCTCCCATCTGCTTGTGGGCGCGGGTTCGGCTCCCCCCGCCCCCCCCGCTCCCCCCGCGCCCGCGCTGCTGCCCTTGTGTTGCTTGCGCTGCGACAGGAACGCGGCGTACGCGTCGCGATCCGACGGCTTCTGCAGCGCGACGGCCTTGGCGGATCGGATCACGTCGTCCACGGCGCGCCGCCCAGACCCTACGCCTTTTGCTACCTTCTCCCACCGCTGCGTCGTCCCGCGAGGAAGCTTCACGAGAAGCTTCTTCAGCTGGTCCCACTCCTCGCGCGTCCACTCACTCGTGTCGACGCCTTCGCTCGCGGCGGCGCTGGCGGCGCTCCCGCCGTTGGCGGCGCCGCCGTCTGCGGCGCGTTGGACGGGGAGATCCGCCAGCTCAGCTTCCTGCGGCTCGCGAGCGACCGGGTTCTTGTAACGAGAGGCTGGGGATGGTTCGTCTGCTGGTTGCTCCTCGGCGTGATGGTGTTCTTCTAACGGGGGACCGACACCAACTCGGCAGTCTCCAGCTGTCTGTGTGATAGGAGCGAGAGGGCCTATAACGAGGGCGAGCGCGATCCAGATGAGCGCGAACTGGAGGAATCCTGACGTCATGATTCCCGCCGCTAGAAATGCGGCGGCGAATCCGCAGAGGATGAGGAGAACGGGGCGAGAGACCGAGGCGTCTGGATCGAGCTGGTCTTCTGGCGAAACGAACGGCTCAGATGCGAGGCGCATGCGCGGCTTGACGTAATAATCTCCATCATCGAAATCGTCATCCATGGCCGCTGCGTCCCGCTGCTGGTGCGCCGCGCCTAATTACAATTAGTCTAAGTTTAGGAGAATCTGTTAGAAGCTGTCCTTTTGGCGGCCAAGGACGAACGAGCTCCCGCTGCTGGAGGCACTAGGCGCGCGAGCCCGCAGAATTGACGCGAAGAGGCCGCGGATAGCGAAGACAGTAGCTAGGATTCTCTTTCCCTCTGGAGTCTGGATCGAGGCCTGAACTTGGGTCAGGCTGCTTCAGCTTTCAGGCGGAAGTAGTCCTAGATTCGAAATGAACCACATTTCAACATCTGTTACCGTGCGAACTGACTCAAGAGAGCGAAACGTCGTTACCGTGTATGCGACTGATTTTCGCATGTGGCAAGCTATTCGCGTCATAAGCCAGGTTCGGAATATAAACAAAGCATACACCAACGACGCCGCTTTATACAATACTAGTTGCCGTTCTTTCACCAACATGCTCTCCCGCGTTGGGCTGTGCAACGACCACGTGGTAGGTCACTATCCTTGTTGGCTCGCACTACCTGGACTGACCGTACGTCCACATCAGAAATTGCTTTCGGGGATTCTCTCGTCACACTCATGTCATCGAACCTCCCACAATATCGATTATTGGCGGAAGGTTCTGAAACGCTTGGATACAATAAGCGTATTTACAGTACGGTGGAGATCGATGTTGGAAGATTGATCGCCCAATCTATGTATCGTCGAAAGCAATTTCATTGCAGTGTTGACTCCCTCCCTAGCATCACCATCAACCAAGTGGCGCGCCAAGTCAGCAAATTTATCAACCCTTCCGCCAAGCCCTTCTTACCAGAGAAGCTGCCAGGTGTGCTCCGGCGAGTCGCGAAATTTCCTCACAGACTGCAGTGCGCCACAATAAGGGGCAATTGTCGAGCGAATTTGGGCGAATCGGCGGGATATGAATGGTTGGCAGCGCCCTCGAGGCAGCCAAGGCACAGCATGGCGCAAGGCGAGTCGCGAGCCATCCTCGGTCGAGCCGCCTGTAAGCTGCTTCTTGGCCCGGAATCCGCGTTCGCGAGGCGAAGTAGAGCAACACTCAGCGAGTGGCGGAGCAGGGCCGCGTGGAGAACGACTTCGGCGGGTGCCACCAATCTTTCAGCGTCGCTCGGTGCGTCGAGCGTACTCCTAGAAATACAAGGTTGAAGCGCGCGCCTCCCGCCGTTCGACAGACAGCAGCGTGCAGACCTTTCACGTTAACGCCTCCGCAAGAAATAACTCCGCACGCCACCGAAACACACGCCGTGATATTCCCGCGACCTAGTAGAAAGGGTACCACTACTAGTGCTCGTCATCACCGGCGCGCACAGACAGTCGGACTTCACGCGGAACCGCCGTGACCTGCAAGAAGTACCACTGTAACAGCTCCCTCGCCGCGCTCACTTTTCATAGCAACCTCGCCTTGACGACGTGGCGCGGCAAGAAAACGCCACGAGTGTGACTCGCCCGCGCTCCCCCCGCCTCCGCCTGCGCCGCCCCGAACCCCCTCGACCCCGCCTCGTCCCTCTGCGACAGCGGAGATGGTAGCGAGGGAGCAAACCACGGAGGTGCAGGAAGGTGCTTGTAACGGGATGACAGTGCAGGAAGATGCTTGTAACGGGATGACAGTGCAGGACGGTGCTTGTAACGGGATGACAGTGCAGGAAGATACTTGTAACGGGCTGACAGTGCAGGACGGTGCTTTTAACGAGGTGACAGCTCAGGAAGGCAGTGCTATTGCAGGCGGGGCAGGAGCAGAGGGCACATTATTCAGAGCGCTGGAGGCGGAGGAGGTGCGCAGGCAGGGCCATCGCATGGTGGAGTTCATTGCAGACTATCTGCAGGGCGTGGGGGACAGACCCGTGTGTAGCACCGTGCAGGTGAGCCACGTGTGTCCTGCCGTGCCATGCCATACCATGGCATGGCATGCTATAGCGCGGCGTGCCTTGCTGTGCATTGCTGCACGGTGCCATGTCATGCCATGCCATGCCATGCCGTGCCATGCCATGCCGTACCGTACGGTGCTATGCCATGTTATGCCACGCTCGCAGTTGACAGCACTCGGCAGCAGCATTGCATGGCAGGGCGGTTGTGAGAGAGTAAGGGCGGTTGTGAGAGAGTAAGGGCGGTTGAGAGAGAGTAAGGGCGGTTGTGAGAGAGTAAGGGCGGTTGAGAGAGAGTAAGGGCGGTTGAGAGAGAGTAAGGGCGGTTGAGAGAGAGTAAGGGCGGTTGAGAGAGAGTAAGGGCGGTTGAGAGAGAGTAAGGGCGGTTGAGAGAGAGTAAGGGCGGTTGAGAGAGAGTAAGGGCGGTTGAGAGAGAGTAAGGGCGGTTGAGAGAGAGTAAGGGCGGTTGAGAGAGAACAGGCAATGGTGGAAGCGGTGGAGGAGAATTGCGTGAGTGCACCCGCAGCATGCAGCAGGGCTGGTTGCATGCGGTTACCAGCAGTTGTCAGCACACCAGACGCACTCATTCTCCTGCACCCCCTCCCTCTCTTGCAACGCATCCCACTGCACTCCATGCTCTGCGCCTGCTAACCACACTGCCCACGCCTTGCCCTGCATGCGCGGCCCCACTGTTGCCCCCTCCCGCCACCATGACAGCCCGGCTATCTGCGGCCTCTGCTGCCCGCCCACGCCCCCGACCATGGCGAACCACTGGACGCCATTCTCTCAGGTCATGCGCGCTCCCTCTCGCCCCCATCCGTGTGCCGTCGCCTTGGCCCCACCTGTGTGCATTCCTCCATCTTCCTTTGAACCACCTTGCCCACCCCCCTCCCTCGCTGCCTGCCCCTACCCTCCCACGGGTATCTCGCACCTGTAATTCCCTCCCTTCCATCCACTGCCGCACCCACTTTCTTCTCCCTCAACGCACTCCTTGCCTCGCACCCCTCCTCTCCATCCCTCCACCCCCCTCTGCACCGCACAGACATATCGAGCGCCATCCTGCCGGGCATAATGCACTGGCAGAGCCCGGCCTTCTTCGCCTTCTTCTCCTCGCCCACCAGCGCCGCCGCCATCTGTGCCGACGCCCTCAACGTCGTCGGCTTCTCCTGGGCTGCTGCGCCTGCAGCCACGGAGCTGGAGGAGGTCGTCATGGACTGGATGGTGGACCTGCTAGGGCTCCCCGATGGGTTCCATTCGGTTAAGTCAGGTGAGAAGAAGGGAGTGGGCGGGGTGGGGGGTGCGGGGTGCAAGGTGCGGGGTGCGGGGTGGGGGTCATCACCACGCAGACGCCCTCATGAGTGCCCTGAACGTGGTCGGCTTCTCGTGGGCCGCCGCTCCTGCAGCCACGGAGCTGGAGGAGGTTGTGCTGGACCGGCTGGTGGACGGACCTGCTCGGACGTTCCCGATGGGTTCCACTCAGTCAAGTCAGGTGAGAAGGGAGTGGGCGGGGTGGGGGGTGCGGGTCATCATCAGCGCCCTCAACTCAACGTGGCGGGCTTCTCCTGGGCTGCCGCTTCCGCTGCCACGGAGCTAGAAAGCAATCGTCGTGGGTTGGCTGGCTGATATCCTGGCGCAGCCGGAGGGGTTCCACTTGGTTAAGTCAGGTGAGAGGGAGTGGCGAGAGTATTGGGAATCATATGTACAGACTCCCTCATCAGCGCACTCTTCAGTGCCGTCAACGTGATGGGCTTCTCCTGGGCCGTCAACGTGATGGGCTTCACCTGGGCCGTCAACGTGATGGGCTTCTCCTGGGCCGTCAACGTGATGGGCTTCTCCTGGGCCGTCAACGTGATGGGCTTCTCCTGGGCCGTCAACGTGATGGGCTTCTCCTGGGCCGTCAACGTGATGGGCTTCTCCTGGGCCGTCAACGTGATGGGCTTCACCTGGGCCGTCAGCGTGGTGGGCTTCTCCTGGGCCGCCCCGCCGCCCCGCTGCCACGGAGCTCAGAGAGATTGTTGTGGACTGGCTTGCTGACTTGCTGGGGCTGCGAGGTGGGTTGGGTTCCACTCGGTCAAGTGAGGTGAGACGGAGTGGGGGTGGGGGTCATTTGCACCAGCGCCCTCATCGGTGCGCTCAGCCCCACGTGGTGGGCTTCTCCCGGGCCGCCGCCCCTGATGCCACGGAGCTCGAGGCGATCGTCATGGACTGGCTGGTGGACTTGTTAGGGCTGCCAGAGGGCTTTCACTCGGTTAAGTCAGGTGAGGGGGAGTGAGGTGAGCTCAACAGTGGACAGCACAGGAGGCGCAGTGACGCGCTCATCAGTGCCCTCGACGTGGTGGGCTGCTCCTGGGCCACTGCTCCTGGGCCACTGCTCGTGCTGCCACGGAGCGCAAGGAGGTTGCCACGGAGCGCAAGGAGGTTGCCACGGAGCGCAAGGAGGTTGCCACGGAGCGCAAGGAGGTTGCCATGGACGAGCTGGCTGACCTGCTGGCGCTGCCTGTTGGGTTAACCTTGGTGAAGTCGGGTGACTAGGAGTGAGGGGTTGAGTCGAGGGGATGGGGAGGGAGGGAGGTGAGGGGTGTGGTACAGCATGGCAGCACCACAACATCGCTTTCCTCAGCCGCTTGCTCTCACTAGCAGGCATGTGAGCATCAGCACTCCCAGTGCACTCACATTCATCCTTCCGTTCTCCCACACACCGTGGCGTGCGTTGCACCGTGTCACTGTGTGACTGTGGCTCTGTGGCAGGCGGGCAGGGCGGGGAGGTGATTCACGGCACGGCCAGTGAGGCGCTGCTGGTGGCGCTGCTGGCCGCCAGGCGGAGAGTGCTGGACCGCGTAGTGGGGCCGGCTGGTAGTATGGAGGAAGCGGCAGCAGATTCAGCAGCAGCAGTAGCCTGCAGGCAGGGTGCTCAGGAGAAGAAACGGGCAGCAGAGGGGCGGCTGATAGCACACCTTAACGAGGCGGAGAGCAGGCTTATATGGAGGATAGTGTCAGCACGGAATGGCAGGCAGAGGTGCAACGGGAGCGTGGGGGTGACACATGAGGAGTGGCTGGTGGATGCTGCAGGCGATGGGGATGGCGATGGCAGTGGGGCTTGTGTTATTGGTACCACCAGTAGCACTGGTGCAGGTGCTGGTCAGGCTGGCAGCATTAGTGGCGGGGCGGCTGCTGCCAGTAAGGCTGCTGCTGGTGCGTGTGAGCAGGGAGAGGCTGCCGGGGCCCCGTGGGGCAGTGCGGAGGACAGGGCAGCACAGTGCCAGGTGGCATACGTGTCGGACCAGACGCATGCATGCGCACTCAAGGCGTGCCGTGTGGCGGGCATGCCCGAGAGCAACGTGCGTGTGCTGCCCACCACTGCTGCATCGGCTTATGCTCTCACTCCCCGCCAGCTGTTGGATGCGGTGCAGAGGGATGAGGCTGCTGGCCTCATTCCCTTCTTCCTCGTCCTCACTGTAAGTGGGAGGTGTCTCGTTGCTTCCTTCTTTCCCACTCTCACTGGAAGTTGAAGGTAACTCGATCCTTTCCTCACGCGCGTCATGGCGAAAATTGCGACAGAAGCAGAATCGATCGTGACTTCGCAGCAGTTGCGAAATTTTCCCAAGGCCCAAGAAATTCGAGCCCCCAGCACCTTTGATGGGGAAATCGACGCTAGGCGCTGGCTTTTGGCGATCGAAATTTATTTCGCCGCCATTGGATGGACAGCACCAGCACTCGACAGAAACAAAATTATGTTTGCAGCAACACTACTGCGCGGACCAGCAATTGAATGGATAAGCGGAAGCGGTTTATTAAACCAAGGAGAAGCGACGTGGCAGCAGTTCCGTGAAGGATTACTACAACGTTTTGAGCCGATTAATGCAGCGTTAATCGCCCGCGACAAAATGCATCGTCATCGACAAATCGGGAGCGTCACAAACTACACACAACAAATGGAGGAATTGTTCAACCGCATCCCCGACGTCACGGAAGGCGAAAAAATTAGAGCATTCATCGCGGAGCTGAAAAAAGAAACACGACAACATGTTGCGGCCGCAAATTGGAGCAGCTACAACGACGTCGTTTCGGCAGCAGAACGTTTCGACGTAACCACGATCGGAACATGACGACTTCATGGACGAGCTAGACGACATGGAGGACGCTTGGCTACCCCCACGTGCGTCGACCCGATGGAACTCGATCGAATCGATGCAAAGGCAAGACCAAAGAAGAACAAATCTAAGTGTTTTTTCTGCGACAAGCCCGGACATCGACTCATCGATTGTGACGATATGAGAACTGCACGTTCAGCGCTTAGGGACCGCAGCAGTGGAGCAAAGTTAATGAGAACATTGGAGGATCGTGGAGTGAATTCTTCAACCCACGAACGGACTCTACCAGGGAAAATCGTCGAGGGAAACAAAATCTCCGCGACACAACACCCTGCTGGACCCGGACAACTCCAAAAAGGCCCTGTAAAAAGTAAGCACCCCTTAAAAATATCATACAAGGATGCTTTACTTGGGAAAAATTCCCTTGGGTCTACGGCCTTTGTGAAATCACAAGGGAAATTCCAGAAGAAAATAAATGTACCGGTACGACAACTACAGCAGCTGCGCATGGGGAACCAACAACGGAGCGTGGAAGATCGACCTTCCAACGACGGCATCGTCCTCTCTCTGAAAAACCAGCCCATGTCGACCAACCGGTCCCCACGGAAGAAGTTGGTGGTGCTGAAACAGCTCAAGAGGGAGCTGGAGGTCAACATGAAGCTGCGACGACCTCAAACCTCCTCTACAGATGCATATGCAACATCTGAAACATCTACGATATCTACCCATCTATGAATTCTACTACGAGCTCGAGAACCACATCGTCGACGACAACAAAAAATCATGGCAATAGGGAACGGCAGGACCGGCCATCTGCCACCCCAGGAGAAAACACAGAGCTATGGGAAATGCCATATGATCCAATCAACGAGACGATCAACGGGTACAACGAGCAACGCCAACCACTTTTGCTCGAGGTGATCTGCAATGGACGACGCCTCCAAGCACTCGTGGACAGTGGAGCATCCCATTCAGTATGCGACAAGGCAGCTCTCAAACGCATCAATGAGAAGTACACGCCTTCAAACTTCCAAGCTACGATGGTTGATGGAAGCAAATTACAACTCTACGGCGAAGCAGCGTTACACCTGCAGATGGGTCCTCTTCGCTGGAAACCGACCCTACCCATCACCAACATCAAAGGGCTAGACTTGATTCTTGGGAGAGATCTTCTGAAGAAGTTCAACCCCGAGATCAACTGGGTCACCCGCACGGCGAGTATCTACAATCAAGATAGAAGAGTTCCACTTCCGAATTGGAGCAACACGGGAGATATTCCGGAGGAGACTCTCGCACGCTTCGAGAAGGACGTGAAGCGAACCATGGCAGGGTTTGTTGCACTGGTTACCAACGAGGACGAAGGAGAGAGAAAAACACTCGAGCTTCCACTTGCAATCCAGAAACTTCTAGAAGAGTTCGAAGACGTTCTCCCTGACGACCTTCCACACCAGTTGCCGCCATACCGAACCCACCAGCACGAGATCATCGAAGAACCTGGTTCAAAACTGACCTTCCGAGCACCATATCGACTCAGCCCAACCGAGTTGGCCGACATGAAGAAACAGATCGAGTACCTTCTGGACAAAGGACTCATTCGACCATCAACATCACCATACGGTGCACCAGTGCTTTTCACGCCAAAACTTGACGGAAGCTTACGCATGTGCATCGACTACCGAGCCCTCAACAAGCAGACGATCAAGAACAAGTATCCGATTCCACAGATTGACGATCTACTTGACCAGCTTCGTGGAGCCACGGTATTCTCAAAACTCGATTTGAGATTGGGATATTGGCAGATCCGGATGGCGGATAACTCCATCCATAAGACGGCGTTTCGGACACGATACGGATCCTACGAGTACCTTGTCATGCCGTTTGGACTCACCAACGCACCCGCTACATTCCAGGCCGAAATGAACCATATTCTCAGGCCTCTACTCGACGAATGCGTGGTGGTGTATCTGGACGACATCCTGATCTACTCGAGGGACATGAAGCAGCACATCGAACACCTACGATGTGTCTTCGAGATATACTTCGACGGGAGAAGTTCTATGTCAAGCTATCCAAGAGCGAGTTTGCCTTGAAGAAAGTTCAGTTCCTTGGACACATGGTGAGCGCTCAAGGAGTCCATGTCGACCCAAAGAAGTTCATAGCCGTGCGTACGTGGAAGACATCGGAGAACGTGAAGGAACTTCAGCAATTCCTTGGCTTTGCGAACTACTATAATCGGTTCGTGCCACAGTATGCGAAGATTGCAACACCTCTCACCAATCTACTGAAGAAGAATACACCGTTCAAGTGGGAGGATGTGCACCAGCAAGCCATGGAGCAGTTGAAGACCGCACTCACGTCTGCACCCGTCCTGATCCTGCCAGATCCAGAAAAAGACTACGTCATCGAAGTTGACGCTAGCGACCAAGCAGTTGGAGCAGTCTTGATGCAAGACCAAGGGAAAGGACTACAGCCAATCGCTTACCTCAGCAAAAAATTACACGGGGCAGAACTCAACTACCCGATTCACGACAAAGAGGCCTTAGCGAGCATCACCGCATTCAAGACATGGCGATGCTACCTCGAAGGGAGAAAGACCACGGTCTACACTGACCATTGCAGCCTGAAGTACCTAAAGACGCAGCCGACCCTCTCCAGACGACAAGTCAGGTGGATTGACTTCCTCGAGACGCACTTCGACTACGACATCGTGTACAAGCCGGGACACAAGAATAAGGCAGATGCACTGAGCCGGCCTGGACACGTTGCTGCCATACAGATTTAGGGGATGAATCCGCTACTCAAGGGACTCTTCACGCACGGGTATATCATCGACCCTGAGATTCCCTTGGCAGAGAAAAAGAAATTGTTGCAGTGGGACCACGACGTCGCACTACGCAAAGGATCAAGAAAGATATGGGTACCCAACTACCCGCCTCTTCGGCAATTGCTTCTCGAAGAATTCCATGACGTGCGCTACGCTGGACACTTCGGGAGTAACAAGACTCTTGCCGGGATTGCGAAAGTCTACTATTGGCCTAACATGGCGGATGATGTGCAGAAGTTCGTCACTTCGTGCGACACATGCCAGCGGATGAAGAGCAGTAAGCAGAAGAAAGCAGGACTTCTTCAGCCTCTACCCGTCCTGGAACAGCCTTGGCAAGTGGTCAGCTTGGATTTCATCACCGGTTTACCACCTACCAACGCGGGGCATGACGCCATCCTGGTCGTCATCGACAAATTCTCAAAGATGGGACACATCATTCCGACACATACAACCGCACGCACGGAGGAAACGGCACAACTATTCCTCAAACACATCATCTCACAGCACGGGATCCTAACAACCCTCATATCCGACAGGGACCCCAAGTTTACTAGCAAGTTCTGGAAAGAGCTCATGTCGCTCATGGGGACACGCCTAGCAATGTCATCTGCATATCATCCCCAGACCGATGGGCAGACAGAGCGCTTGAACCAAATTGTGGAATAACTCTTGCGCGCAGCGTGCAAGGACGACATTAACAAGTGGGACTTGCACTTGTCGGTGTTGGAGTTCGCCTACAATAATGCAAAGCATGCCGCAATAGGAGAGACCCCATTCTTCCTCTGTTACGGTCGACATCCGCTAACTCCTCAACAGCCGACAGTACCTGCAACTGTCCAACCCGCGCACGACTTCGTTACCACAATGCAGCAGCTTTGGGATCAGACACACAAGCGTCTACAGGACATACAGTCTTCACAGAAACGCTTGGCCGATCGCCATCGACGTGATCATACCATTGCAGTTGGTGACCATGTGCTTCTCGACACATGCAACCTCAACCTCGGTCACCTTCCATCCAAGTTACGACCTCGCTTCTGCGGACCTTTCCTCGTAGAAGAGCAGGTCACTCCAATCACATTCCGCTTGCGCCTACCAGCTACTTGGAAGATTCATAACGCCTTCCACGTACAGCTTCTTAAACCCTATCGAGACCCAAATAAGCTGTACACGGGACGCCAACCTCCGCCGCCGCCTCCAGTCCTCGTGAATGATGAACTTGAGTACGAGGTTGAATCTGTGCTTGCACATCGTCGTCGTCGGCATGGCGCCCTGGAGTTTCTCATACGCTGGAAGGGCTATGATCCTTTTGAGGACAGCTGGGTCTCTGAAGAAGACATGAGTAACGCTCGATGTTCTCTCCGCGACTATCTTGTCAAGCAGGGTGTTACATCTACCACCCAGCTTTGAGGGGGGGAAGTGTGAGAGTACGCCGACGTTCGACATATTTCTCATTTCCATATTTTTACTCCATCTTATTCTCCTTATTTTTCTCTTTCATTTGCACTTTATTTCACCTCAATCGGACTACTATTCTATTTTCTAGAGCTTTCCGATTATTTCACTTATTTGGTATATTCGGCACCGACATTTA